TTTCCTTGCAACATCAATCAGAAGCAAAGACAAGAGAAGTTGCAGAGTTTATGAAAGAAATAAAAACATGAAGTCAAGAACGCTTAGTGAAACGTCATGGCGAGTCAAAACTTGGGATAAATATGATAAGAAACGCTGATAAAGATAAAGGTGATGGAAGGAAATCCAGAGACGAGGAATAGAGTCACTGATAGTAAGAAAATGACAGAAAAAAAGGCAGCTAAAAGAAAATGAAGGAGAAGAGGAAGATCAAAGATAAAACGTAAAAAAAAAAAAAAATGAAATGAAATGAAAAACAAGGGGAACCTCTTCGGAAAATGATCCTAAGGAAATATAAAGAAACGAGTATAAATCAAACGAATAAATTGTTTTTACCTATTACAATGTTGATGATGATAATGGCAGTAATAATAATAAAAAAAAAGACTATAAATGTGATTATCATGCGGATGCTGGCCACGAAAGAAGAATCTGTATCAAAAAAGACAGAGAAGTTTGTAATTATTGTGATGAGGAAAAGGAAACTAAGATAACGAAAGGAAAGGAAAAATATGAAAAGGGAAAACTGAAAAGAAACAAGGAAAAAAAGAAGAAAAGAATAAAAAGATGAAAAGACGAAAAAGAGAAAGAAGAAGAAAATGGTGTATGAATAAGAGAAATAAAGAAGACGAAAACAAAAAGAAGAAAGGATCAGAGGATCAACAACAACAAAAACAAAAATAATAATAATAATAATAATAATAATAATAATAATAATAATAATAAAACGAGCGAAATAGAAGAAGAAGAAAAAAAAAAGCGAAAAAAGAAGAATGAGAAGAATTAATGGAAAATAAAGAAAAGGAAAATAGGAAGAAAAAAGAGGGAGAAAGATAAAGAAAAGAGGAAGAAGAATGAGCAGAAAATGAAGAAAAGAAGTTGAAAACTAGGAAAATTGGAAAAAAAAAGATTAAAAATAGCGAGAAGAAGATGGAAAAGAAAGGATGAAGAGAAGGAGAAGAAAATGGCCAATGAAAACGATCTTGGGAAAAATTGTAATAGTAATGGTGACTTTGCGAGTCTATATTTTTCATTTTTAGAAGCAAAACTGCAAACTAACAAATGAATGGAAAAAGCAAATAAAGAGAAAAAAAGATTAGTTTATGACTTGGCAGCTTCCCAAATGTAAAAATAAAATAAAAATATATTGGTTAAAACTTTAGGAAAAATTACATAAAATCTACACTATTTAAAATAAAACAAGAAAGCCTTTTAACTGGCCGACCGAACCCAAAACTTAATGGAACTCACACGCATAACATAGGGCAACACATATACATAAATGCAAGTGATAGTAACATAATCATATAAGACATTGTTACTTTTGCAAGTTCAAACTTCGCTTGTCTACTTGCAGTAGACTTAGGACTTAATGCATAAGAATATACATTCATCAAATGTAATGGTAATATAAAAAATGTCCTTATAAGGAAACGTTAGGAATTTATTCAGTGCGTCTAAAGTTATAAAATCTTTCTCTTGGGACTTCTTTTTCAGGAAAATAGCTTTCTCACATCCTGTAGCCGTTATCGCTCTTACCAGTATTGATGGGGGTTGCGTTCCTAACCGTTGATTTGAAGAAGTGTGGAACATCATCTTATATCATTATTTTCTCTTCGAATTATATCTGCTATCCATTTTCGTTGTTGCTTCAGTTGAAAATACTGAGGTGATATCGTTTTTGTTATCCTGTATAGATTTTTTTTTATATTATGGTGCCAGTCCGTAATGTCCGAAGAAATATATTCGCGCCAAGATCTACAGACATCACTCACTATACAATTTTAGCCATTGATCCGAGAAAGCGGTTATTTAAAGAAAACAGTTTAGATATTTCTCCAAGTGTTTGGCGTCATGCATGGCATCCATATAAAAATCTTGATCTAACGAGGCTAATCAAGAATATGTCCAGAGTTTTCAGATTTATGTTTGCTTTTGCAGAAATTTGAAATGTTGAATTAAAGTACGTCTAGCTTATATATATATATATATATATATATATATATATATATATATATATATATATATTTAAGTATACAAACAGAAAAAAATCCCTTAAAGATTTCTGCCGTTAACAATAAATTTAAAAAAAAAAATCCAGACGACATGCATTTAACGGATGTCAGAATTCATTGAAAAATACATCCCTACCCCTACCAAAACGTAACTAATAACTGATACATCAAAATACAGCGATAATGAAAACACAACCACCCCTTGTCTGGATGAATGGATTTCTCTGTATCCTTGGAAACGTGAATTATGATTTTTGCTGTGTCTTTAAAACCCAGTAATTTTAAAAATAAGTTACTCGAAAATTCGCCTGAGGATGAAATGGAACTAATGTCTTTAATTTAATTACAAAATTAAATTCGAAGCTTTTAACTTCTATTTTTGAAACATGGTTAGAACTGTGTAGCAAAAAACATATTCTAAATCTGTTAATTTATAATATTAACGCACTGTAAATTTACATCGAGCACTATTTTGTAAAAATAAAGATATCTATAAGAACACCGGATTATATATTATTGTACTTTCTTTTATATATATATATATATATATATATATATATATATATATATATATATATATATATATATATATATATAGGATTGGTGTATACGGGAAGAATTCCAATAACTAAAAATGCTATAAGAGGGCTCAATACGGAGTAGAGTAAATATAATTTATTCGAAAATTATAACATAAACATGTTATAAAATCACTACAGAAATATCAATTTGGCTTCCACATTTCTGCTGTTAAATGCAGAATAAATAAAATAACGGTGTTTATGTTTCAGGTACAAAAAAAAACAAATAATAAAGGCAACACTCAGAGGTGACAGGCTGTTTCGTGCTAGTTGCAATCGTCAGGCCACGAATGTTGGATTTTTCCCTCGACTATTTATATATATGGGTCAGTGGTGCATTGTGGGTAATCTATTCTGGCTATTCTGGTTATTTTTGCGGGAGTGGCTTGTCTGTTTATTCATTTAATTATTTGTTTGGGTTAATTTAGTTTAATTCTTTTTCATTTTCATTTTGTATTATTTATACTTTTCGGTTTTTGATGTTTTATTAACATACTAAAATTTTGTTTTGTGTAATATGCTGAGGTTGCTTATTTAATAGTTTGTTTTGGTCTGGAAATATATATATATATATATATATATATATATATATATATATATATATATATATATATATATATATATATATATATACATATATATATGTAGTGTCTCAAAAGTTTTCGAACACTTTAAATGCCACAAATGTAGTGTTTATTGACTTTGCAAAGATGATTAAAATTAGGAAGCTTTCTTGTTTATTGACTATAAAGAAAATCGCGTCTGAATTGAATACCAAATGAAATTAAATGAGAGTTCATAAACATTCAGACTGATGATGAAATCAAAAATAAGTACTTTTTTGTAAACCATATATATATATATATATATATATATATATATATATATATATATATATATATATATATATATAAAAAAAGATTTCATTTCGAAATTCCTTGAAGGTTATTCGAATCGACAAGTACTTGACGAAGGCTAGAGTGCACAACGCAGAAACGTCGTGATGTTAACAACACAGATAAGTACAGTAGTCTACACGTAAATAAAATATCTCTCACTTTGAAAGAAACACAAAGTAATGTTTCTTCATCGTTCCCTGTCAAGTAGGCCTGGTACAATAATAATAATAATAATAATAATAATAATAATAATAATAATAATGCGATGACTATGTGATAATCTTGGTATATCACGTATATTTGTCTGTGATGCTTTTGCCTATTATATCTTTATCAGGCTGGATTTTATAATTGATATGTAGAATTTTGTATATTTGCACCTCATTCTCACGTTCTTGATGTGTTGATCTTTCGCTCAATAACAATAATAATAATACTAATATGAAGTTTTTTTGGAAATTGCATTTAGCTTACCTTTGCGGAGTTCAGCTTAATCTTATTAAAATGTGCACGCTCTATTCTATGAGAATTTTTGTAATGCCATGACGTTTCAAAGCGTACTTGATTATCCTTCGTCTACTATTCTTTTCTCCTTAGATTTTGTAAAATGTCAAACCCATTGGGAAAATAAAGTGGAGTGGATTCTCTTTTGAAATTCGATTATTCCATTTAGACTCAGTGACATATCCAAGGCTAGAGAACCCAAAATTCTCTTCGAATTAAACCAGAGCAACCAAGGCTATTAGGAAGAAGATGACGGTAACAGACTGAATTTGAACTCGACTCACCGTTTCAACTTCTGTACCCATATCCATTACGCTAATAATTACGCAGAAATATATTTAAATATTTGATTCTTGAGTGTGTATTGTTGTGTCTTGAGAGCATAAAGTATAAATATTTGCTATATTCTTTTCAGGTGCAAGTCCATCTCACGGGATTAGAAGTCCTCTCAGGTTCTTTGTTACATTGATGCATTGGATACAATGATGAATATATTGGACTTCATAAATTTGTACCCCATCAACCCATTTTTTGGTAAGCTGCTCTATTACGTAATAACAAGAATAACATTATCATGAATTATCCGGAGTAAGATATGAAAAATTTCTAAAATGAAAATAACTGAAATCAACATTTTGAAGAACGATAAAATTTATGCTAATGTAAAAATCGTCTATGGCCCAGTTTAGCTTCTTCTATGTGCCGTATCTCCTCAGTTGGTGGTCGAGCATGGAACTTTACAATTTGCTAACACTTGTAGGTCTTAGAAAACTTTTTCCCTTTTGCCGGGCCTTCCACCCCATGTTCTGCAATCCAGTCTCACAAGCCCGTTAGGTAAGTGGTCGATTGTCTCCCTCTATCCCCTTTTCCTTCGATATGAATGCCAATTGTCTCCCTCTGTCCCCTTTTCCTTAGATATGAACGCCAATTGTCTCCCTCTGTCCCCTTTTTCTTAGATATGAATGCCAATTGTCTCCCTCTGTCCCCTTTCTTTCGATATGAATGTCGATTGTCTCCCTCTGTTCCCTTTCCTTCGATATGAATGTCGATTGTCTCCCTCTGTCCCTTTTTCCTTCGATATGAATGTCGAATGTCTCCCTCTGTACTTTTACCATTCGATGAGAATGTCAAAATCTCCACGACTTCCTTACTCTTTATTTCAGAAATGTCAGTTCTCGCTTCTGATTCTGAGTATAAGTATCATTTTTATTTTCATTTAAGTCCTCGATATACAGGATATTAAAAAGAAAAGAAGACAATAGAGGATTGGAGATCGTGATCATCCAATGAACTCGAGACTAGAGGCAACAAAGAAAGCAGGACATAAATATTAAAAGGAAAACTACAATACAACAGAAATATAATAAAAATGGTGGCCCAGGAAACCCCAAAGCTACATCCAAATATACGAAGTAAAAAATCAATGGATAATTTAAAAGATAAAGAACATGAATTAGAGTTGTAATTATGCTGGTATATTTACACAAAGGACGCATAAAATAGATATGCTATTGTCGGTCATATCAGACTGAATAAATTAAAACGAACTACACACAAAAGGTCAGATTCATTAATAGTAGCGAAAATGGTAGCTGTTTCCATATATGTAAACGTCTGACATTCATTGACAGAGCAGATCGTACTGTAGTCAGTTCAAATCATTTGATTAAAACAATTTTCCAGGAAAGTCGGTTTCACAAGCCCAATAATATTCATCGCTCTTTCCAGTACTGATGGAAACTTCCTAAACTTTTGTCATTCACTTTTTTGCGTCGAAAACTGTTACGTTACACGCACACCCAAACCGCATATTCTACATGTTAAGCCACTGCACTTGGAGATATGACAAAAAAAGAATTTAGATGAAACAAAATGGGCTCTACTCTTGAATATATATCTTAATATTTGCTCATGGTTATGGCAATAATAAACGTTTCCTTATAGTGAAACATTCGGCTTTCATTGACCAAGCAGCCACTGCTACTTTCGTTTGAAATTTGAAAAATCTTTCTGTTAAAACTATTTTTTAAGAAAATAGGTTTCTTAGGTCCATTAGCTGATATCGTTCTTTCCAGTATTAATGAGCGTTTCCTTCCCAACTTTTTGTTTGTAGTTGTGTGAAACATCAACATTGAACATATTATTTCGGCTTTGAGTTACATGTATTATACATTTTGACCGTTGTTGCTATTAAAAGTCCGCAAGTGATGTGGTATTTGTTATCCGGTACAGTTCGTTGTGATTCAGTAACGACTATACATGAGGTTCGAAAAAGGATGTCTCTCCCTTAGACTTAAATGTTTCACACGTTAGAAGCAATTTATAACGATCGATCTGAGAAAGCGATTGTTTATAGCTGAAGGGTTAGATATTTCTAAAAGCGTGTCAGATACCCACGCACGGCATCGATATGAACGTGTCGGTCTGATGAGATGAGTTATGACGAAGGAAGAGAAAATATTATAATAGATTCAGCCGTTGTGATAGACTATTGATAAAAATTAAGACGCTGATTTCAAAGATTGAAGATTATTCGCTATTACACGGAAAAAGAAAATAGTGGAAAATTAACTGAAATAAGTCGATTCTCCAACCTCTTTCCCATAGAAGCAACCTTGAAAGCCTGTCGCTTATCTATCGCTATTCCAGCTGCACATGTTCAGATAAGCTCTAGTCTTTGCATCAAACAATTCAGAAATTTACAACTAGGACGCATCATGCTACATTCATGGAGTCGAATCACACTAATTTATTACATGCTCCAAATGTAACTAGAATGTTTCATTCAGGCAAATTTTCCCAACAACTCATCTCTGATATAACCGTAAGCCTCCATTTCCTATCCCACGAACGCAGGTGTTCCTCAAGGCTCCATCCTAGTCCCCACTCTATTCCTTATCTACATAAATGACCTTCCTGACGCCATAACTTCCCAAGTTGGCATCTACGCGGATGACACCACAAAAACAAATCTAGTCTCGCTGACAAAACTCACCTGGCCGTGCGTCTCGAAAAGGACCTCCAATCGATTGTGAACTGGGGCATGAATTGGCTGGTCAACTTCAACGCTTCTAAGACAAAACTGCTCTCTATTAATCACGACAGAGATCCTTCCTTTCCCTCCATTAGAATGTCTGACGCTCAACTTCTCGAGAGCAACTCTCTGCGGCTTCTCGGTCCCACGTTGACTGTTTACCTGAGATGGAATAAATACATTGAGTCAATTGTCTCGTCCACCGCAAGGAAAGTTGGCTCCCTGAGCCGCGCTAGGAAGTTTTTCCCCCCAGAGTCGATCCTCCAGATCTACAAATCAACAATTCGCCCTTGCATGGAGTATTGCTGCCATATATCGTCAGGTGCCCCTTCTATTTGCTTCGGGGTTCTTGATAGGCTCCAGAGGCGGATATGCAATGTAGTTGGCCCTGCCCTGGCGTCTCGTCTACAGTCACTTTCTCATCGACGCGCCGTCGCCTCCCTCTGTCTCTTCTACAAATACTTTCATGGTAATTGATCCGAGGAGCTGCATTCGCTGGTTCCCAGACGTCATGAGTTCCAGCGCCAGAGATAAGCCAAACTAGATGAAAATTTTAAATTCTCGAACTTCCGTTTCATTGGACAGATGTTGAATCCTTAATTCTGATTTTGTTAGTGAAACTACGTCTATCCGTTATTTACGTTAAGGCGTCTAAATACTTAAGGGAACTAATGCTTTAATCCTGGCTACACCTATCCGTGCGAAGGAAAATTTATTTTACGTTTTGGCAGGTGCGACAGGATATTGGAACAATCCAGAACTTATACTGGAAGTAAACCGCCTGTATACGGATAGAAAATGAATCCAGTAAATACACAAAAATTGAAAACGGGTATAAGACACGGATGTGTCTTCTCAACAGATTTACCAGGATTTATTATTGGCGGCCACAGTCTTAACAGCATTAGATATGCATATTACACAATGACGCGGAAAGTAAACTACAGAAACTTCTACAAATTGTAGTAAAGTAAAGCGAGAAGAAAGGAATAAATATCAATTGTAAGAAGTAAATATATGATGTTCAGCAAAACTAACAACCCAGTTCGCGATTAACGAATTGGGGGCACCACACTGAAGCAAGTATAAACATTTAAATATCTAGTAAAGAGAAGAAAGAAAATACGACACCAAAATCCGAATGTAAGCACATATTAAGCAAGGTATTATGAAACAGGACAATATATACTGAACTGTTATTTAATATTGGTCGTATATGCTGTGTATACTGAAAAAAAAAATCTCATCACAGATGAAAACAGACCTGAGGCAATAGAAATGTTTATTTCTAAAGAAGGACGCTGAGAATATCACGGATTGTCCATGTTAAGAACCTTTAAAGAAAATGGTAGCAAAAATGAACCCCATACTTAGTATGATGTAACAGTTGAAATTTCTAGTGCACATAATGAGGAGTGAAGGTTTGGAAAATTTAACATTCACAAGACATGTTGAACGTGGGACAGCCAAAGGAAAGTTGTGAAGAACCTACATAACGAGTTTGTGTATTTACACAAGCTCGTTATGTAGCAGAATAGGATAGCAGAATAGGATTTAGGAGAGATAGGAAAAAGACTCATATTGCTCCTAAGGACAGAAAGTGCTACCAAGGACGGGTAATCTTGGAGAATCATGATTACTCACCTCCTGAAGAGACAAAGCACATAGAAATAGAAAACAAAATGTTTTTATATCACTCTTTATACTATTTGGATTTTGCTATATTTGAGTAAACGCAAAGAAAATCAAAGCTCAGATTTACATTGAAATCCTACATTAAATGATCCATCAAAAATCATGTGTCAAACTTGACATTGTACTTATCTTGTAAACTGAATTGCAACGTTAAAACCATTCTACTAGATCCTACTTTAAGCCTAATGTTTCCCAAAATTAAAACAAATTCTTAAAGTGAATGTTATATTCTAGTAAATCGAAATAAAATTGCGAGAATTTCATTTCCTTAAGAAAGTGCATTACTTCAGTTCGCCGAATCTTAACCGTAACATCGATAAATTATTCGTAACAAAAGAACCAATCAACTGACGTTTATACTCAGTTGATAAGATGATGACAAGGTCAGTTTACATTATTTTTACTTTTATTACGCGCTCGTTTCACTATATTTTTAGGCCGTTATATTTAAAGCTTTTGCTTGACCTTTACATTTTCGCATATATTTTTCACTTTATGGTGTTCCATATTTATTTTCCATTTGATTTTTTTACTAAGCTTAAATTAAGTGGTTAGAATACCTCAATAGATTGCATCTAGTGAGGATCGAACTCACTTTTTCAAAGAAGAAATGTTTGATAATCTTTTCTTTATTTTACTATTTCTTTTGTTTTTGCACTTTTCGTATTAAGTGTTAAAACATCTTTTATTCTTTCGTATTTCGCTTTTTCTTTTTATTATCATTGATTCATTGAACATTTCATTTATCCACTGCTTTCGCCATTAAATTTCTCTCGTTAGCCTTTCATATTATTCTTCACCAGTTTTATTTATTTCTTGCTTTCCAAACAATAGACTTTCCAAGAGTCTACCGTCCGTTTCGTATTTCCTTCTTACTCACCTTTCTCATCCTAATGTCATGAATTTTAGAGCATTTAAAACTTATTGTGTCTTTGTTTGATTCTTTCTTTCTATTTTTCTTTCTTTCTTTCTTTCTTTCTTTCTTTCTTTCTACCTTTCTTTCTTTAGCTACTCTGTTTTTTTTTTTTTAATTTGCTCAAGGGATTTATCGTTTGTTCGTACGTTTCTTTTTTTATTTCTTTCGCTACATATTCTGAAAGAATTTATTGCTCATTGATTATTCCTTTTTATTTTTTTCTGTCTTTGTGTAAGGAATATATCGATCCTTCCTTCCTTTTTTCTACTATATTTTAAGTTTTCCGGTAATAATTTATCTCTCTTTTTCTTTCTTTCTTTCTTTCTTTCTTTCTTTCTTTCTTTCTTTCTTTCTTTCTTTCTTTCTTTGCGCACGTCTATTTTTAATTTCTTTGATTGAATCATTCTTTCCATTTCCTTTTCTTTTCTTTTTTCTCTTTGTTTACTCTTTTATGCATGGACTCCATAATTTATGAATTAGTTTTTTCTTTCTGTTGACATATTTCACTTCAGATACTTTGCGCCATTTTTAATTTTATTCGAGACATAGTACTTTCTTTCTTTCTTTCTTTCTTTCTTTCTTTCTTTCTTTCTTTCTTTCTTTCTTTCTTTCTTTCTGTTTGTACTCTTGTAAATAGATGGAAGACTTTCTTATGTCTTATCTACATTCATTTGTTCAATCAATTGTTATGTCACCAGTGCGGGTTTATTTTTGCCGCTTCCTTAAAAAATGTAGTTGCTAAATTAGTTTCAGCACAGAAATTATTTTGGACCATCAGAAGCACAGAGACTCGTTGTGGCACACTCACACGCACTCACAAACCGCACATACATACATAAATAAATACGCACATACGCTGAGGCATATCCTAATATTTGCTGACTCACGCACATACACATATTCATTGGGACACATACGCACACACAGAAAATCAATATGCACAATTACAAATACTTAAATATGCGCCAATACAGGTATGGATGAGAACATACATATTAATGCACTTACGCGTACATACGAACAACATAATGAATACAGCATTTTTATCACGGGGTTGCGGCACATTAAAAAAAACAAAAAAACTGGTAGCCAGTCAAGGTGAGCAACTCTGAATTCAAAATGTGTGTAACATGTGATTCTATAATCACCACTGCACACGGCGTATTATCGTTATATTTTATTTGCCGTTTAAATTTTAAGAAAACATTGTCTAAAAGCAGTTGGTTCTAGGACAGTTGCGTACTGGATATTTGCGTCTTGGACATTTGCGTCCCAAACAACTGCGTACCAAACAACTGCGTACCTGGACATTTTCCGTCCCAAACAATTGCGTACCAATCAACTGCGTACCTGGACATTTGCGTCCCAAACAATTGCGTACCAAACAACTGCGTACCTGGACATTTGCGTCCCAAACAATTGCGTACCAAACAACTGCATACCTGCACATTTGCGTCCCAAACAATTGCGTACCAATCAACTGCGTACCTTGACATTTGCGTCCCAAACAATTGCGTACCAAACAACTGCGTACCTGGACATTTGCGTCCCAAACAATTGCGTACCAAACAACTGCGTACCTGGACATTTGCGTCCCTAGAAAAATGCGTCCTTGGATAATTGCTTATCTCTGATAATTTTTTGAAGCTTTTAAAGAAAATTACCATAATTTTGGATGGAAAAACATAGTTAGTAATCATACATTTAAAAAAAAAACGAATAAAATAAAAAAAAATTAAAAGTTTATTTTTGTTTAAAATGCATTGACAGATTAAAAGTGTGATCGCTCTACACATCGCTAGCATGTTTTGGTTCACCCGTATTTTCCTTATGATAGTGGTAGCTGTAATTTTCCTCGTCCATAAATGTTTGATTTTCGGAACTTAGCCATGAATTCTAAATAAAAATATAATTTGTAAAATATAGAATCTATTCGATGATTGTGGTATGCAGTGCTGGGGTGAAATGAAACTTCTAGTTTAATTTTCTCCTGCTTTAAAACATAATTTTTTCTCTTTCTGCTTGTTTAGGGTAATTAAAGGCATTGGTGCGCTAATTCCTATATTAAAAAAAAAAATCTTTAAAGAAAAATGCTAACTTCAAAAAAATTATCAGAAGTACATAATTATCCGGAGCGCATTTGTCCAGGAACGCAAATGTCCGTCCACCAAAACAATTATGTCCTAAATATTGGTTTCGTTTGTAATATTTGCAATAGGTTTAATGGAAGATCAAATAATTTTCATTGAGTTCAGTCAACTGGACTAACTTGCAAATTATGATTTTAAATAATGTGACTTACAGTATATTGAAATTGCGCTCATCTTCAAAAAATACGTTTAGGATCGTCTAAATGATCCCAGGATGAAGATGATCATAAAAATATTGTTAGAAGATCCGCGTTATTTCAAACGACTCTAATTCTATTGACGTAGACGAATTTGACAGACTACGACCTTAAATAACTCTTGTCATCCATTCCCTCAAAGACATCAAATAGGTTATTGGCAGTTTTCTATGCTTCTTTTGCCTTCAATGCGCACGAGAGTCTCACATTCTTGAAGTTTTCTTTCCTGATTATTTATAAATTTATTTTAGCAGCAGATTGTTTGTAGTTCTTATTCACCTTAAACTGTCCTCGTTTCTCATTTGCTCTGTCCTTTGTATTCTCAGTTTTACTCAGTAGAAACACACCCCTCTTTCTTCAACTCTCTTCTTCATCTGTGTTGTAATCATGCATCATAAAAATGTGTTGACATTATATCGACGTCCAGTACAATTTCTTTGTTTCTAAGGATTCTTTCCTATCTTTTAATAGGTTGCTTCATGTAGGGAACGAACTGATAACCCTCAGTATTCAAAGAACTGATACAACTCTATTAAATGGACTGTTCCAGTAGGAATATAATCATCTATGACGCTGCTCTCAGTGTGTGGAGGGTGTGCTTTCCAGCTTAGGCTTGAGCACACATTAAGACGTCGAACTGTCTGCTTTCGGGCAGAGAGGAACCCAGACGATGCTATGCCGAAGTGCAAAGTCTCGTCTGATGAGGTAGACAAACCAGACCAAATTTTCGCCCGACATAAAAATCGACCTTGCACTACATACTGCTTCGTGTGGAGGTCGGGTAAATACCGGCTTGCTTTCCAGCTTAGGCTTTGGCAAGCTCAAGATGTCAAATTCTCTGCTTTTGGGCAGAGAGGAACCTAGACAAGGCTTTACCGAAGGGCAGAGTCTGGTCTGGGGAGGTAGACAAACCCGACCCCGTGTTTGCGGGGTGTAAGACAACTTTTCCCCTGAGCTCGGATCTCCCAACATAAAAATAGGCCTTGTGCCACATCTTGCCTCGTGGTGGGGTCGGGTAAATACCGGCTTTCCAGCAAGAATCAAGATGTCGAATTCTCTGTTTTCGGGCAGAGAGGAATCTAAACAAGGCTTTGCCGAAGGACAGTGTCATGTCTGTGGAGGTAGACAAACCCAAGCTCGTGTATGCCGGGTATATCGTTCGGCCCACAAAGAAATCGGCCTTGTGTCACATCCTGCCTTGTTGGGAGGGCAGGTAAATACCGCCTTGCTTTCCAACTTCAATCGAGCTTGTAAATATCCACTTGTATATTTCTTGTTTAAAATAAACCCTTATACTTTGTAAGCTGCCGTTCTAGTTATTACTTCAATAACCACCCCCAAAAAACATTCGAAAACTACATTTTTCTAGAAGGTATCTTTCATTTCTAAACGTCTTCGATTTTTTTGTGTCACATTTTCCATCATCTGCAGTAGAGAGATATTTAAATTTTTGTACTTGCTTCAATATGTAACTCGCAATTTGGGTTTTTGTTGCAATGAAGACTATATTTTTCGGTTTCATACTTTTAATGATTAATCCTATTTTCTTTGTTTTGTGCGATTACCTGGCCCAAGAGTCATTTCCCTGTTCTTTCCGAATCCATAGAAACAGCTTAAAATGCCTAACATACAGGGTGCGATGGATAAATTCTCGTATAAATTACACAAAAATGAAAATAACACGGACATCGCATTTTAATAGATGTATTTAACAAAATAAAATCTTGGAATACTAAAGAGTAAATGTTCTTATTGGTGCTTCCGGTGCGAATACTAAGGAGAACAGCATGTTGTTTCCAAATTTCATGAGCGAAATTAAAAATATAAAATGGCGGCAATTTACCCATCACACCTTGTATAAACTAATGATAGGACTTTTCGCTCTCGTTTAATCATTTTAAATGATACACGTAAAAACTTATATTGCATTAATTATAAAACAGGTGCGATTATATTATATTCAATCAGATTGACTGCAGATTCTTTGTCAATGATGCTGGTCAGACGTTTGGTATTAAGTGTCCTACAACTTAACTAAAGAGAAGCGTAAGATAATCCCTGGTCATATGATGTGGGATAAATAAAAATAGCAGCAATAAAAACAAAACTAAAACGGTGAAAAGATGAATGATTGACAGATTGGTTGATTTTGTTTAGCAGCATATCAACCTCTATGGGTTATTTAATGTCGAAATCTAAATATTTTTACGTAACTTTATACTTTCAAGGTAAACGTATGTTTTTTTTAGATATATAATTTGAATGAGAAAATGTATTGTTGGTATTTTATAAATGTATATTGCTAGTAATTTCAATACAAAAATGGACTATTGGTATTTTTTTTTTTACATATGTGTACTTTTATAATTTTTTAGCGTTGACTCTCATTTTTCTATGAAAATGTATTGTTGGTAATTTTATTATGGAAATTTACTGTTTACTTTTGTGTGGAGTTCGGTATTTGCTACTACTCCGGGACAGCTTGTACATGTGAACAACAGCAATTAAGTGTTACTTCCACGCTCCTCAAAACATCCATTTCCCGATCAGAATCTTTGCTGCCAGATGTACATTATCGTCATACCCAGGACGAAAGGAGGCTAAATGAAGTCAGCTAGAGACATCGGAGACGATAAATTTAAAATTTAAAATCAAAGGGCCCTTACATATCCAGCGTTTCTCTTGATGTTTTATCATAATCGACGTTTATTTATATTTTCGTTACCCCCACCCCTAAAAGCATATGATTTCATGAATGAAAATATGCTTTGGTCTACGGAAGTCTGGACGAAACACGTTATATAGGATTTTTCCAATTTTGTCATTCAATTACCCATCTTTAGACTGATATATAGAATCTTCTCTCAAAACAAAACTTCCACTATTCACTAATGTTTACGTAATTTCAGAATTCAAATAAATATCGAATCTTGCCTTTCTCGCTACTCTTTTGATTATACGACAAACATGTATCGCCTCTCGGGACTTTTATGGGAACTTGGATTAAAATTGACTCAAGTTCAGCATGTACCTTTCCCATTGAACCTAAAGTGAGAGGGTCAGCGTAAATCCTTGATGCTTTCTGGTGGTGTCACGAAAGGAAACTTGGACAATTTATGGCACAACCTGCATGTATGCTTGTGTGGCCTTACGTTGTGAACTCCTGTCAAACCTGAGGGTAGGTAAACAACTAATATTTCTCTTTACACATTTCAATCCCGTCCCTCTTTTTGTATTCCGTCTTCTTTGATAACAGTTCTTGATATAAATCATTCTAAACTG